GGGGAGAAGGATGAAATGTAGAAAATTCTAGGAGTCCCAAAGGAGGAACAGGTTTCAAGGAGATTCGTCTCAGCTCAGACAGAGGAACACCAAGCCTGGAAGGTGGGAATCAGAATAGCCAAGACCTCAATGGGCACTCTGATATAGGATGCCAACCTGGCAGGCAGCAGGCTAACATATAGTGCCACAACTCAGGCCCTCATTCTCATTCTTGATGATACTGTACCGATGATTCACTCCCCAAATGAGAGCAACGGCCGATGCTATCCCAATCCGAAGCCAGGATCCAGAAACTTCTTCCGGGTATCCCACACGGGTACAGGGTCCCAAAGCTTTGGGCCGTCCTCGACTGCTTTCCCAGGCCACAAACAGGGAGCTGGATGGAAAGTGGAGCTGCCAGGATTAGAACCGGCACCCATATGGGATCCCAGTGCGTTCAAGGCAAGGACTTTAGCTGCTAAGCCAGGCCACCGGGCCCATATCTCACGCTTTCAAAAACATAAATGTTAAAAAATCTCTAGTGTTCTTCAGTTTCCATATGATGTATCTTAATATAAATTTATTCTCATTTATCATATTTGGACTGTTGGTAATCCAGAAGCTCTAATTTGTATCTCTCATCAATTCTGGAAATTTTCAGCCTTTATCTTTTTGAATACTGTCTCAGTTCAGTTTGTTTGTTTGTTTTTTTCTGGAAACCAGATTATATATTGCTATAACTCAGTCTATTTTTCTGAAGATTTATTTATTTGAAAGAGTTACACAGAGAGAGAAACTTCCATCCATTGATTCATTCCTTGGATGGTTACAATGCAGGGGCTGGGCAGGGAGCCAGGAGCTTTCTTCAGGTCTCCACATAGGTGCAAGGACCCAAGCGATTGAGCCATCCTCTGCTGCCTTCCCAGGCACTTTTGCAGGGACCTGGCTCAGAAACGGAGCAGCCAGGACACACCCCGTACTCATATGGGATGTTTGTGTCACAGGCGGTGTTATACACAATGCCAGCCCAGTCTTTACATTTTCTCCCTATTTTCTTCCCCATCTCATGCACTTGTGGATTATTGCCTCTTATCTCCATTCTAGCCACTGATTTTCTCTTCAAACATGTCTAATCTGCTCATTCTGTATATTGTTATTGTTTTTAATTTCAGCTGCAGTTTTTCATTTGTACAAGTTTTATTGGGCTCTTATTTCTGTTTAAATCTGTGGCTCTTGTTCTTTAACTCCAGCTCATCAAAATAAACTTTGAAACATACCAGATATTTTATTGTAAATTCCGTGTCTGAGAACTCCCTATATTGGAGGTTATGATTCTGATCGTACTTTTTTTTCTCTACTGTTATTCACAGCTGCTTACTCCCGATATGTGTTTTGTGATCCATGATGGTGAGCTTGTATTTTGGGGGATGCTATTTGCAGAAGTCCTATGAAGCCCAGGCTGAAGGACATCCAAACAGGATTTGTGTTTGCTTCATCCATATGTCCGGAAGTGCTGTTAGCCAGAACTCAATTTAAACTAGAAGTTTTTACACACACCCCAAGGATGCCAGGCTGCAAAGCCACACAGGGACCAGCTGGTGATCACACATCCTCAGGGACATTTTTCCTCTCCCTAGTTCTCACTGCCAAGTTTAACACAGCAATTTCTACCAGAAGGGTAGAGTCCCAATTTTTCTTGGAGGTTGGGGGGGGGTGTCTCCATTGGATACCCTACTTCAGATGGGACCTGGGTTTTATTACCTGTGCCTGCACCTACATGAGCATGAAAAGCTCAAGTTAGTCTCACTTGGCAAATTACTTCCAGGGAAAAGCGGGCATTCAATGTTCTGCCTACTGCTCCGCCATCAGCTTTGCTTCGTTTTTGTCCTCTATGCATTCCTTCCCAATTTTCCAGCTCATCTATGCATTTTAAATGATTTTTAGACTATCTTCTCCAGCACTAATGCAGACGAGCGCTTCTCCTGGCAGAAACGGAAGTGCATCTGTGAATTCCTTAGAGGAGAGTGATGAATACCTGACTTTGGAGTTCCGGCTCCACTTCAGCCTCCCCATCACCTAGGCTCCTCACACCCGGTTCATTGCACAGCCTTGTATGGTTGTAGCTGCACATCCTGTTCCCGCAGGGGGCTGACAATGTCCAGGTGTTTCCAGTGCATCTGCTTACAGCAGGAACGATGGAGATTCAGCTGCACACCTCACTCTCAGCATTGCCCCCTGGCTCCCCTTTGGCCTCACTCAGCAGAGCCTAAGGTAGCTCATAAACCATCCCTACCCCTCTAAGTCTTCTACATATTGGAGTTCTTCTCTTCCTCAGTTTCTTCTTGGGGATGGGAGCACACCACCACGTTCCTCACAAGATGGAAGGCTCCCTGTTGTTCTGTCCCATACTCAGCTCCATGTGTGGCCTGGAAATAAGGGTGACCTTGGAGGCAATGACTATTAGTAGCAGGGCAAATTCAGTACCAGCCTCCTTTGTAAGGCCTGAGGGTGTCTGGCCCCAACATCTGCTTAAAATGCAGAAGCACTAGGGCTGGCATGACATAGCAGTTAAACCACTACTGCCTGTGACCCTGGCATCCATATAGGTACTGGCTTGAAAACTGACTGCTCTACTTCCAATCCAGCTCCTTGCTACTATGCAAAAGCAACAGAGGATGGCTCAAGGGCTTGGGCCCCTGTTCCTACGCGTAAGAAACTCTAGGTTCCTGGATTAGGCATGGCACAGCTCTGGCCAGTATGCCCTTTGGGAGTGAAACAGCAGGTGGAAGATCTCTCTCTGTCTTTCCTTCTTTCTGTAATTCTGCCTTTCCAATAAATATAAAGCAAATCTTGAAAATATTACAGAAGAACTGAATCTCCTGCTCTGAGTACTGGTTGGTGATTCTGGACCACAGGAAGATTTCCTTTCATTCCCTAGTAGTATTAATAAATAGCTCCACTGTGTTGCTAATCCAGTGGTTTGCCATTAGTAAAATGCACACTCATATCCTGGATTCAATTCCCAGCTCTAGCCTTTCACGCCAGCTTCCAGCTTATGGATGTCCTTGGGGGGAAGTAGTGGCTCCAATAGTTGGATTCCTGCCCATGTTGGAGACTTGGCTTGCATTTCTTCCTCTGGGCTCCTTTACAGAGGTGGAAGACACAGTGGGCATTTGGGCAGTGAGCCAGCAGAAGGGAGTGTGTGTATGTGTGTGTAGTACTCAAAGTAAAAAAAAAAAAAGTCCACATGCCTCCATTACACTCCAGGCTTCGTGTCCTGATCCTGCTCACTGTCTGTCATCCCCCACTGCCCCAGCACTGTCTGGGACCTGTTTCTAGCATATCACCTTGAGGGCTGTTACAGCTTTAGTTCCTTTCGCTTGGGATTCTTTTTCTCCTCCACATTCCCGTGGTTCCTAAAGCTACAGCCACTATGCCACTGCCTCAGAGAGGCCTGCCCAGACGTACTCATCAGTACGACTGACTCAAATTCCAGAGCCTTATATATCATCAGGTGGGGAGGAGCACTAACTTTTAACATTTAGCTTCTCGATAGACGATGTAACATCAGACACATTTAATTGCACTTATTTTGAACCATGCGAATGTGAAGCATTCAAGAAATCCATTCTGGGGGCCAGTGCTGTGGTGCAGCGATGACAGTCACAGCCTGTAGTGCCAGCATCCCACGAGTGCTGCTAGTTCATGTCCTGCTACTCCACTTTCCAGCATCTCTGCTTATGGCCTGGGAAAGCAGCAGAGGATGGCCCAAATGCTTGGCCTCTGTGCCCATGTGGGAGATCCGAAAAATGCTCCTGGCTCTGGCTTCAGACTGGCCCGGCCCTGCTGTTGCTGTTATCTGGGGATTCAATCCATGGATAAACCAGTCTCTGTCTCTTAAAGAAATCAAATCTGGGCCTTGCACAATGGCTTAGTGGCTAAATTCTCACCTTGCAAGCATTGGGATCCCATATGGACGCTGGCTCATGTCTCAGCTGCTCCACTTCCAATCCAGCTTCCTGCTTGTGGCCTGGGAAAGCAACAGAGGATGGTTCAAAGCCTTGGGTCCTCTGCATCCATGTGGGAAACACAGAAGAGACTCCTGGGTTCGGATCAGCTCAACTCTGGCTGTTGTAGTCACTTGGGGAAGTGAACCAGTGGATGAAAGATCTGTCTCTGTGTGTCTCTCCTTCTCTCTGTAAATCTGTCTTTCCAAAAAAAAAATCTTTCCAAAAAATCCATATGGGATGCTGGTGCAGGTGAGGATTAACCTGTTGAGCCACACACCAGCCCGTAAAATTGTCTATTAAAAAATACACACACACACACACACACACACACACACACACACACACACGTATACATCATTTACCGATATTCCATCAACCGGTTCACTCCCCAGATGTTCTCAATAGCCAAAACAGATCAGACCTCCACCAGCAGCCTGGAACTCCATCTGGATCTTTCACATTGGGTGGTAGGAGCCCAGCACACACCTGCAGCCTTCCAGGAGGTGCATACAGGGAAACTGGAATCAGAAACTAAGGAACAGGAACTTGAATCCTGGGGCACACGGATACAGGATGCGGCTATCTCACTGCACCACAGGCCCACATCTAAACATTCACTATCTTTGGGTGGAAATTTGTCCTGACCCGCGGCTTGTTCTGAAAAGGAAAATTTAGGATAGAGGAATTGAATTTGCTTTTTTTTGCTTCTGTACTTTGCTTGCTCTTGCCTTCTGTACTTTGCTCGCTGAAAAGGACAATGAACAGCCGGACATCTCAGGATTTACTTTAGATAGAGCCTGGGAACCATAGAGAGATGAGGGGCGCCTGCAGCTGCATCCGGATTAGGTCATGAGAAAAGTCTTGGGACAGGCATCTCAGGAAGAAGTGCGATAAGGAATTGAGAGTGGCAGTGGAAAGTCCCCAATTGCATGGCCCCCTCCCCGTCTGTGGTTTTAGCCTTTAAAAAGAATGTTGTACAAGGGCTGGTGTGCCTACCCTCCTGCGTGAGGAACTGCGCGCTGGTGATTGAATAAAGCCTCCTGCTTTTGCATTAAGTCTCGCCTCCGTCGGTCACTGAGGGGACTCACTGTCTCAAGGATAGACGGTAAGATCGTCCCATCTGGGGTGCCTGACACTTTCTCTGGCTTTCTTCGCCCTCACAGTGGTCCGCATCAACTTTCCTTCCACGGCTGCCGCTGTTGGCGGAGCCCGCGCGAGGGGGCCTCTGGGAAGTGTAGTTCTGGTGCCCGCCGCCGTCCCGGAGTTGCGGGAGAGACTCCGCGTGCGCAGGCGCATTTCCGGTTCTGCCGGGCCGCCGTAGCCATTGTCCCGGGCCCGGTGCAGCGGAGGCCGCTCTGAGCAGCAAGCACATCAACAGACAGATCAGTGTTGGAGAGAACCGAGCCTGCCTGCAGGCGCGGGAGGAGCCAGCCCGTGATTCTGGGTGGCCTGAGGTTGCGTGATCCAGAGGCGGTGATTACCAATGCGCGGGTCGGAACGGCACTTCCGATGGGTTTGGGGGTGCCCGCCGGGTGTCGCTCACCATCCTGAGGTGGAGCGCAGCGGGAGTTGGGGGGGAATGATTGGGCGTGGCTGCTGAGGTGTCCAGGCGGTTCTGCCGCTCGAGAAGGAGGCGCGGCAGGCCCGCCGCTCCCGGGGCGGAGGCGGGGCCGGCGGGGCGGGACGGGGTGGGGTCGGGCAGCCGCCTCAGCCCGTGAGTGTGCCCGGTCCTGTCTTCCTCAGCTCCTGTCGGGCTAAGGAGTCCGAGCGAGGCAGGCATGGCCCCAAGGCCTCCGACAGCCGCACCTCAGGTGAGCCGCACGTTCCTAACCTCCTGGGATGTCCCATGCAGGTGCCCCCCACCCAGAGGTGTTTTGTGATGGAAGTGGATAGGAGAGTCATTGTTCTCCGCCTGACAACTTGGAACCTCCTAGTCTGGGTGCCCAGATCTGAACTGCCAACGTGTTGGGGATGGGGGGCACCGAAGGGCTAAGCCAGGACGGGGCGGTGTGGTGAGGCGTGCAGGCTGAGGTGTTGGGAAGTTGGGTCGGTGTTGAGTCTTCAGAACCGCGCCAGTGTGAACTCTCAGAGGATGAAGTGCCAGGATAGCTGTGGAGGAGGAGGCGGTGACTGGTGGTGAGTTAGGAAGAGGAGCGCAGGGACCAAGGAGACACCTTAACAGTTAAAGAAGACTGGGAGCAGTTTACCTAGAAAGAAGCTGGAAATGGCCTTTCTTGGGCAAGAAGAACAAAAATCCAAAACCTGCACTGACTGGCTGGCCCCGGGTTTTTCTTGTCTTTTTCTGCTTTTACAAATGTATGATAGACACAATCACAGACACACACACACACACACACACACACACACACACACACCGGGAAATTCCACCTGCACATTACTTCTTGTAAATGACACTGATTTGTGAACCTGTTTATTTTTGTAGCAGTGGGTGCGTTTTCTGGAAGCATTACAACCCTGGGGTTATCCATGGATTTACAGAGTTTATTGGTGAAAATAGAAGAAGACGGGTGGTAAATGTGTGAAGCAGTCAAGATTGGTCCAAATGAAAATACCAAGGAGTAACATCCCTCAAAAGCAGCTGATAATGTGACTGCTTGGCAGTGCTGTTAGATGCTCCTGGGTCTACCAGCATCCCATGTCAGGAATCAAGCTTCCTGGTAATGCACCTGCTGGGAGGCAGCACCGGGCAAGGCCTCGAGTGCCTGAGTCCTGCTGCCATGTGGGAGACCCTAACAGTTTCAGGGTTCTGGTTTCTATCTGGTCCAGCCCAGACCTTTATAGGCATTCGAGGAATGAACCAGCAGATGGCAGATTCTAGCAATACCATAAATACCTAAGTTTTTTAAAAAAAAAAAACTGATAATGTCTTTCAAAAGATGTTTGTTGCTTGGAACACCTGCATCCCTTGTTGGGGTGTCTAGGTTTGAGTCCCATCTCCTCTTCCGATACTGGCTTCCTACTCACACAGACTCCAAAATGGCTCAAATAGTTGAGGTGCTACCACCCTTGAGCAAGATCTGGATTAAGTTCTCAGCTCCTGGTCCTGGCCCTACTTATGTGGATGGCAGTGAACCAGTGTGTAAGAGATCTCTGTCTTCAAAATAAAATACTTCACAGTATATCAGAAATAATAGAATATATGCAGGAGATGACCCGCTGCCGGCACAAGGCAGTTGCTTGGTTTGAGGAATGCAGAGGACTGTCATGTTTGCCTTTACAGAGTGTGTCCTCCAGGGTAGGAAGAATCAGGATGACTTAGCACCTCACCAGGTTGGTGGGGGCTGCCTTGGTAGTGGAGAAAGCTGGTATGTGTTTGCTTGTTTGCTTTTAGATTTATTTTGTTTGAAAGGCAGAGTCAGAGAGAGAGTGATGTTTCTACTAGTTCCCTCCCCAGATGGCTGCAGCAGCCTGGGCTGGGTAAGGCTGAAGCCAGGAGCCAAGAACTTTGTCTCGGTCTTCCTCATGGGTTCAGGGGCCTAAAGGATTGGGCCATTTCCTTTGGCTTCCCTTGGTGCATTAGCAAGAAACTGAAGCAGAAGTGGAGCAGTCAGGACTCAGCAGCATCTGTATGGGATACTGGCGTTGCAGACAGTGGCCTGCCTTCAGACACAGCACTGACCCCAGAATGTGTTTTGAGCAGAGACCGCTTTAAATTTCACTTCTAAGGATGTGTTCCCTAAGCACTCTTAATTCAGTTATATTCTGAAGGAATGAACCTACAGTGGGACTTTTTAGACGGAAATTTCTCTTTGTCAATGGTTCTCCTTCACTAAGCATGGCCCCAGGAGGAAATAATGGTGAGTGACTTGAGTCCTGGGACTGTCTATCTGGACAGTTAACTCCCCGACCCTGCAGAAGTGCAGCACAAGAGAAAATGAGATGGTACCATGTGCTGCTGTACAAGTTCAGAGGCCATTTGAGTTCAGAGAAGGGAGGGGTAGGAAAGTGTTCCTGCACGAAGAAGTTCATTGAATAGGAGCAGAGGTTGAGCAAGTAAAAATGAGGTTGTTAGGGGCAGAACTGAGTGAGGGACTGTGGGTCAGAGGAGGTGGGAAGCAAGCAAGCAGACAAGGGTCCTGATCACAGAACACTTGTCCTGTGAGACATGTGTGCGCTGCGGGAAGTGACTGCTGAGAGCAGGAAGGCATTTGAATTCTTTTTTTGGCCTTACAACTCATTTGTTCTTTCATTTATTTTTTTCCACTGACCAGGCCTGTGGTGTGTCAGGCCCTTGTCTGGGTGGTTGCAATACTTCAGTGAACAGTCTGTAAAGGACTCTCTCCATCCCCAGAGCTTCTTCCATTCTAGAGAGGGCAGATGGAAGAAGACTTCAGTAATTACTAAGTTGTGCAGTGTCCTAGAAGGTGATGGTACCCGCTCAAGAGGGTAAAGAAAAAGGAGGGATAGATTAGGGGGCTTGAATGGGAAGGAGGAAGTAATTTTTTTTAACTCCATAACCCAGACATCTACACCCAAGGAGAGAACTATAAACATATGTATATTTATGTATGTGTTTGTTTATGTATTTGAGAGACAGAGTTACCTAGAGAGAGGGAGAGACAGATCTTCTATCAACTGGTTCACTCCCAAATAGGCATAATGTCTGGGGCTGGAAGAGGCCTAACCCAGCAGCATGAAACTTTCTAGGGGTTTCCCATAGGGATGCTGATTCCTTGGGCCATCTTCCACATCTGCCCAGGCACCTTAGGAGGAAGCTGGATTGGAAGTAGAGCCATCAGGAATCCAGTCAGCATTCAAGAGATGCCTGCATCATAGGCAGTGGCTTAACCCATGGCACAGGCCACAGGGTTGTGTTTTTTTGTTGTTGTTTTGCTGTATTTTTAAATTTGAGAGAGTTCTGATCTTCTGGTGTACTCTTAATTGAACCAGAGAAAGGCTGAACACAGGAGCCGCCGACTCAGTACGGTTTTCCCACGTACATATAGCAGGGACCCAAGCACCAGTCATCCTTGGTATCTTCCAGGACCCGCACTTAACAGGTGCTGGAGCCTCAGCAGGTACTCTTAACAGGGAGCATCTTAAGTGACAGCTTAACCCACTGCACCACAGCACCTGCCACTCTTTTTTTTTGGTGGTAGCCATTCTGGTGGGTGTGAAGAAGTGTCTTCTTATAGTTTTGATTTGTATTTCTCTAATGGTCAGTTTCACATTCTTTCATATGCTTATTAACCATTTGTATATGCATACTTCTTGGAGAAATGTTAGACTTTCTTCAAATTGGATTGTTTGATTTCCTTTTGTTAAGATTTAGGTGTTTTGTACCTGTTATGTATATAAATCTATCAATATTATATACCTTTTAATAGAAAACTACATTTATTAGACTCTTCTTTAGCGCCCCTGTATATGATTTGGTGAATTTCCTTCTTTTCTCTCTATATATCTTTTCCCCTTAAACATTTTTAGTGATAGCATTTTTTAAACTTTGTATCATTTTTATAAGGATTTTTCTCATTAATTTTGAAAAGATTTACTTATATATTTGAAAGTTAGGGCCTGACATGGTGGCCTAGAGGCTGAAGTCCTTGCCTTGAACATGCCGAGATCCTATCTGGACACTGATTCTGATCTCGGTGACCCTGTTTCCCAGCCAGCTCCTGCTTGTGGCCTGGGAAAGCAGTGGAGGACATCCCAAAGCCTTGGGACCCTGCACCTGCGTGGGGAGACCTGAAAGAAGTTCCTGGCTCCTGGTTTCAGATCGGTGCAGTTCCAGCCATTAAGGTCACTTGGGGAAAATAAGTAAATCTTTGAAAAATAAATAAATTTTTGGAAAACAAAAGGAATGTTAGGATTACAGAGAGAGAGACATTTAGCTTGCTCTCCAAATGACTGCTGTGGCCAGAGCTGGGCAGGTCAAAGGCTGGGAGCCAGGAGCTTCTTCCAAGTCTCCCATGTGGGTGGCAGGTTCACTGGTTCACTTCCTAAATGGCCACAGTAGCTGAGCAGAGCCAATCTGAAGCCAGGAGCTTCTTCTGAGTCTCCCATGTAGGTGGAGGACTCAAGGACTTGGACCAAACTCTTGCCTCCTTCTTAGGGCATAAATAGAGACTGAATGGGAAGTGAAGCAGCCTGGACATGGATGGATCAATGCCGATATGGGATGCCAGTGCTTAACAGTGGAGGATTGGCCCATTGAGCCATAGCATCAACCCCCTCTTATGAATTTTTTATATATATGTTTTTTCTTGTTTTTAAAACAAGTTAATCTTTTAGGTTGAATGACAGGGCCTGGCATAGTAGCCTAGTGGCTAAAGTCCTTGCCTTGCACACGCTGGGATCCCTTATGGGCACCAGTTCATATCATAGCTCCACTTCCCATCTTGCTCCCTGCCTGTGGCCTGGGAAAGCAGTCCAAGATAGGCAAGAGCCTTGGGACACTGCACCTACGTGGGAGAACTGGAAGAAGCTCCTGGCTTTGGATCTGCTCAGCCCTAGCTGTTACAACTACTTAGGGAGTGAACCAATGGATGGAAGATCTTTCTGTCTGTCTCTCCTCTCTGTGGATCTGACTTTCCAATCAATCAATCAATCAATCAATAAAACAAGTAGAGTAACTGGGACTCAAACTAGGTACTCTGACAAGGGATGCATCCCAAGACACATCTTTTCCTTCTTTCTTTTCTTTGTTTGTTTCTTTCTTTCTTTCTTATTTTCTTCTTCTTCTGCTTCTCTCTCTCTCTCTTTTTTAAAGAGAGATAATTTCTGATTCACTCTCCAGATGGCTTTAAAGGCCATAGACCATGATTCCAGAACTTCATCTAGATTTTTCATGTGTGTGGCAGAAACCAAAGTATGTAGGCCATCCTTTGTTGCTTTCCCAAGTATATTAGCAGGGAGTTGGATTGGGAATGAAAAAACTGGCACTTGAACTTGTATGTGGGATGCCACCATTGCAGGCACCACCATTGACTCAGCTCTGGCTGTTGCAACACTTTGGGAAGTGAACCAGCAGATGGAAGATCTTTCTCTGTTTCTTCCTCTCTCTGTAAATCTACCTTTCCAATGGGGCGGGGGAGGAAACTTGTGACTTACTGGATTAATTGCCATTTCTTAATTTTAATGACTTATTTTGTTTTGCATAAATACATCTTTTTTTAACCAAGTTCTCATTGAACATTAGTTTCTAATTTTTTTTTATTTTGTAAAAAAATGTTTAAAGACTTATTTATTTTTATTGGAAATTCAGATCTGCAGAGAAGAGTGACAGAGAGAAAGGTCTTCCATCCACTGGTTCACTCTCCCAAATGACCACAACAGCCAGAGGTGAGCCGATCCAAAGTCAGGAGCCAGGAGCTTCTTCCAGGTCTCCCATGTGGGTGCAGGGTCCCAAGGCTTTGGGCTGTTCTCGACTGCTTTCCCAGGCCACAAGCAGGAACTGGAAGGGAAGTGGAACAGCCGGAATAAAGACCAGTGCACGTATGGGATCCTGGCACATGCAAGGCAAGGACTTTAGCCTCTAGGTTACCATGCTGGGCCCAAGATTTAGTTTTATGTGCACATCAGAGTTACTAAGAGAAGGAAAGTCAGAGAGAGCTTTGATCTGTGGTTTACTCCCCAAATGACTACAAGATCTGGAGCTAGACCAGGCTGAAGCTTGGGGCCAGGAGCTTCACCCAGTCTCCCACTTGAATGTAGAGACCCAAGGATTAGGGCCATTTGCTGCTGCTTTCCCAGGTACATTAGCAAGGAATTGGACTGGAAGTGGGGCAGCTGGGGCTTGAACTGGTGGTCATAAAGGATGCCAGTGTGACAGATGACAGCTTTACCCACTATTCCACAACACCATGCCCCAAATGGAATAAAGTCCCACCTAATTATGGCAGATTATTTTCAGAATGCTTGTGCAATTGAAAAGACTTTTTAATTTTTTTTTAAAGATTTATTTATTTTTATTGGAAAGGCAGATATACAGAGAGGAGGAGAGACAGAGAGAAATATCCTCTGTCCTCTAGTTCACACTCTAAGTGGCCGCAATGGCTGGAGCTGAGCTAATCCAAAGCCAGGAGCCAGGAGCTTCCTCCAGGTTTCCCATGTAGGTGCAGGGTCCCAAGGCTTTGGGCCGTCCCCGACTGCTTTCCCAGGCCACAAGCAGGGAGCTGGTTCGGAAGTAGGGTTCCTGGGATTAGAACCGGTGCCCATATGGGATTCTAGCGAGTTCAAGGCGAGGACCTTAACCAATATGCTATTGCACTGGGCCCTAATTTTCTTTCTTTCTTTCTTTTTTTTCTTTCTTTTTTTTTTTTTTTTTTCTTTTTTAGCAGAGAGCCACACAGGGAAAAAGCCCATCTACTTACTCATTCCCAAATACACAGAAGGGAGGTGTGCCAAAGCAGGGAACCAACTCCCTGAGCCATCACCGCTGCCTCCCAGGGTCTGCTGGAGTCAGGAACTAGAGTTGAGGATTGAACCCAGGTACTCCAATCTGGGACACTGAAATCCTCACAAGTGTTGTTTGGATGAAGTAACCCTCTTAGGGGTTTAACTTATAGAAACATCTAAATTGTTGTTCTCTGTGTTGAAACACATCCATTTATAGAGTGGATGATTCAGAAATAATTTTCTCTGTGTACACCTCAATCATTTTAAGGTTTTTACTGTCAACATTCGCAATTTGGAACACATGCATGTCGTTAAGATTTTCCAATTTCCTAACGTACTGTTGTATGCTGTTTCACTGTGTTTTTGTCATCGCCGTCGTTGTTGTTGTTCCTCTTTAAATTGCTTTTTGAAAATTCTCTTTAACTAGATAGGCCGGCGATTTTTCTGTGTGACTGGTGTTGAAGAAGAACCAGCTTTTTGGCTGGGCATTGGTAGCATCATTTTTCTACTTACCCACATAAAGCAGCATTTTCTTATCCTTGAGGCAAGTCCTCTCTCAGCCCCCCACGCCCTGCCAAGATGGGTCAGGTTTGCTCTACTGCTTCACTCAGCAGACATCTCTTGAGCACCTGTGACCACTGAGTGATTCTTAACTACGGCCACCCTGCAGGTGGCACCTACAACCTGTGGGGTGATGATGATTTCAGCCACGAGGCAATGGGGGAAGGACACACACTGATTATAAGCTCCATGGCTGGCCTGTGTTCAATAAATCTCCGCTACTGGGGGCAGGCATTTAACACTGCAGTGAAAATGCTACTTGAAATGCCCAGCTCTCAGAGTACATGGATTCGATCCTGTCTCTGGTCCCAATTCCACCTTGCTGCTAATGTGCACTGTGGCTCCAGACAGGGTGAAGGCAGTAGGTGAGACTCAAGTACTTGGATCCCTGGCAACCATATGAGAAACCTGGACTGAGCCCTTAGCTCACTGCTCTAGGCATTTGGAGAGGGAGCCAGTAGACAGAAGATCTTTTGTTCCCTCCTTCCTTCCTACCCTCCCCACCCCCACTTTGCTTCTCAAATAAAAAATAATAAAATTTTAAAAAGAAATATTCACTGTTGTTTTTTCATTGTGCACTACCTGACGAGCTTTTAAAAGACTCTTGGCCAGAGCTTTCTGCATGTGGACAATTGAGAACATTTGCCAGGGTGATTCTGGACAGTCTAAGCTTGCTTGTTGTGGACCAATGGCTACAGTTCTGAAATGGAGATGTGGACTGAATGCTGAGGGAGGGTGGGGATCTGGAAAAGCTTCGGGACTGCAAGGACCATTATACCTATGCTGGAATGACAAGTAGAGATTTTTTTTTTTTCCTGTAGAGCTGAGGGAAGAAATTGCATCATGGTGCTAGAGTTTAACTGCAACCGGTTATGTCACTGTTTGCAATGCTGGCATTCCATATCCGAGTGCTTTCTCGGATTCTAATTCACTGAGCTTCTGATCCATCTCCCTGTTAGTGGGACTGGGAGAGCAGAAGAGGATGGCCCAAGTACTTGAGCCCCCACTACCCAGGTAGGAAACCCAGGTGGAGTTCTCTGTTCTGGCTTTGGCCCAGATGCAGCCATAACAGCCATTTGGGGAGTGAACCAGTGGTTAGAAGATGTCTTTCTGTCTGTACTTTCTGTTACTCAACCTTTCAAATAAATAAGTCAGAATAGGACAGGTGAAGGTAAGGAGATTGGATGATGGTACCAGGTAAAAGAGTCCATGTGACAGAGACATGGTATGTGTGGCAGGTAACAAAGTTTGAGAAAAAGATGACTCAGTAGCATGGGGAAAATGGCCATAAGTGGAGATCTAGAACATGCTAGCTGAAAGAAGTATAAACACACATAATTTTAAATTTTCTTGTAGCCAGAAACTTAGTGTAATATTATTTAACCTATGATATCTAGAATAATATTTTGACATGTAATCACTTCTTAAATTGCTAATGAAGTGTTTTATATTCTTTCTTTTTTTTTTTTTGGTGCTGATTCTCCAAAATTGGTTGTATTTTATACTTTGTTACAAAGCTTGATCTAGTCAATAAATAGCAAAATTGGTGTGGCTAAAGCCTAGTGAGTAACGAGGGAGTTTGAATTTTATTCTTGGTTTTTGTTAAAGATATATCATTCCTTTATTTGAAAAGCAGAGTGAGAGAAAGACAAGGAGAGACATATATATCTGTTCGTAGCTACACTCCCCAAGTAACCACAAAAACCAGCATGGGCTCCGGCTGAAGCCAGGAGCCAGGCACTCCACCCCAGCCTCCTGCTTCGGGTGGCAGAGGGCCCACATACTTGATGCCTCTTCTATTGCCTTCCCAGGTCTAGTAAAGAGCTGTATCAGAAGCAGAGCAGAATTAGCATTCCAGAATGGGATACCAACATCACAACCAAGGCTTAACCAACCATGCCACAACACCAGCTCCTGAATTTTATTCTTAGTCTAGTAGGGTATTCTGGAGTTTAGGGAGAGGATCCCTCATAATACAGTTTACTATGGAACACTGTGAAACAATTCAAACAAATAAGGTGAAGTCATGTATGTTTCTTAGTTTCTCCATAGTTAAATGTAGAAAAAAATTGTTGAACAATATGAGCAGTATTTCATAAAACAAAGTGTATATGTGTATAAAACATAGACAAGGGACTTCAAGTATATACATTAAACCATCAAGAGTCATTTTTTTTTTCTGGGGAGTAGAGTGAGGTTATGAGGGTGAAGGTGAGCTCTCTCTTTATATTCCACACTATTTCATATAAAGGCTGTGGAAGGGCAGCAAGAATTTGTGATTGAATGAAAAGGCTTGGCTTTGGAGAGCATCAGGAAGCTGTCTCATTGAGGATGCAGGTTTGTGGGAGTCACTGTCCCCATGGCTTTCTTACCGGCCTCACCCAATCCTTTACAACATTAGGTAAACAGCTAGTACATATAAACCATACATGGCCCCCTCAGGACAGCAGAACATGCAGTCACCACGCTGGTACATCCCACAGGAATCAGTGACATTCAAAGACGTGGCTGTGGATTTCACTCAGGAGGAATGGCACCACGTGGATCCTGCTCAGCGGACCTTGTACAGGGATGTGATGCTGGAGAACTACAGCCACCTGGTGGCACTTGGTAAGGACCATCTTTCAGAGTCCTGCCAGTTGGTGGGAACCCCCTGCCTCAACTGCTGAAGTGTGTGCAATTTCTTGGGCAACTGTGTGAATTCAGAAGCAGAATTCAACCATCTGTTTGGGATCTAGCTTTATGGGTATTGAGCCTGCCCTCTGGTAAAAATACCTTTATTTTACAAAAAACTGGAAATCGAGAGTTGATTGCATGATCCCTCAAGCTGCATGTTTTTCTTTGGAGTTCCTGCAGATTAAGGACTAACCCCCTTCCTTGTAAGAGGACCCTTTTGTGTCCGTGCACGTGCAATCAAATCTTGTGTGTTCGCCCATGGGCAGGATATCAAGTCTCCAAGCCAGAGGTGATCTTCAAGTTGGAGCAAGGAGAAGAGCCTTGGACTTCAGAGGGAGAACTCCGAAGACCCTTTTGTCCAGGTGGGTGAGTGTCAGGCCAGTGGGAATCAGTGCAGGGCATGGCGTAGCTGGCCTGAGAGCTTGTGGATTTGCACAGGAGCTGAAGTTATGCTCTTGGTGACATCCCCGCGTACATCTCTGTGCCTCAGTAGGGGACCCTTGGCATCAGTAGATCTTAGAGAAAAGGGTTCTTCTTGGTTTTTTTTTTTTTTTCTTTTCTGGAAGTAGCCTTTCACTTTGCACTCAGAATATAATCTCTGCCTTGTCCTGTAACTCTCCTTGCTGGATTATTTTCTCCTCAGGTGTCTTTAGACACCCTTCATTATTTAGTTATTTAAAGACCCCCATTCCTCCTTGCTTAGGCAGGGGCTGAACTCCTGTGTCTCCTCCTACACTGTATTTCTTGCACTGCCTAGTACCCTTGGCTTTTAGCAAATGCATGCAGCCTTGAGTCTTCCTCCCTTTGTCACTGGCCTTGAGACTCTTTCCCCAACTATACTCCTGAAACTTCAGCACCATCTTCCTTACAGCCCATGTTTATGCTAGTATTTTTTTTTTCAATTAAACAAAATTTTTCTCTGGGCCTGGCACATTAGCCTAGCGCTAAAGTCCTTACCTTGCAACTGCCAGGATACCATATGGGCACTGGTTTGTATCCTGGCTATTCCACTTCTCATCTAGCTCCCTGCGTGTGGCATGGGAAAGCAGTAGAGGAAAGCCTTGGGACCCTGCACCTGTGTGGGAGACCTGGAAGAAGCTCCTGCTTCCTGGCTTTTAATCAGCTCAACTCCAACCGTTGCACCCACTTGTGGAGTGAGCCAGCAGACAGTAGATCTTTTTCTCTGTCTCTCCTTTTCTCTGTAACTCTGACTTTCCAATAATAAATAAATAAATCTTAAATTTTTTTTTCATATTATATGAAAGGCAGAGTCAGACAGAACAGAGATCTTTCGTCTACTGGTTCAGTCCTCAAGTGCTCACAAAAGCCAGGCCACCGAGCTCCACCCCAGGAGAGTGGAAATTCAATCCAGTTTTCCCGCTAAGTGATTGGGAGCCCAGGACCTGCCCCATCACCTGCTGTCTCTTGGGGTGTGCATCAGCAAGCATCTGAACTCAGGAGTGGAGCTAACACTCAGACTCCGCTGTGGGAGGAGACACAATGTCCTGTGCCATTAAAAATATATATATATATATATATATATATATATATATATATATATATATATATATAAAAAACGGAAGAGTTACAGAGAAAGAGAAAGAAATCTTCCATTCACTCCCCAGCTGGTTGCAATGGCTGGGACTGGGCCAGACTGAAGCCGGAAGCCAAGAACTTCTTTCCAGTTTACCCCTGTGAGTGCAAGGTCCCAAGACTTTGGGCCATCCCCCACTACTTTCCCAGGTCATAAGCAGGGAGCTGCATCAGAAGTGGAATAAAAAACAAACAAAAAAGTAGAATAGCCAGGACATGAGCCAGTGACCATATGGGATGCCAGCATTAGGAGGATTAGCCTATTGAGCTACCACATTGGCCTTGTCCCTGTTTTGAATGTAACATCTTAAGTTTCAGTGTTAGCTCAGCTAGTAACTGCTGTTTCCGGTAGCCACCAGAGCCGCAGGCACAAGGTGGTCAACAAGGAATTCCTCAGCAGGCATCTCCTTGCCAGAGATTGGATTGCGGACAGGCCTTCAATGACAGGACTGCAGTGTGACAGTTTAGGAACCATTTGAGTACTTCTAAGCACTAGGTATGCCACATGCATAAAGGACACACATGGAGGCCAGGGAATGAATACAGACAAAGTGTCTGGTAGGGAGGCCCACAGGCCAGTGCTTCACTGGGGCTAAGCATTATCTGAGTAGGTTTTCTGCAGGGCGTATTAATGGGGGAGTTTAAAGCACTAGTTCCAGGCAGTCCCGCTGCAACTGAGAAATGGTCACTTTATGAGCAAATGTCACAATGATCAGTTAAATAAAGACTGTGGGGAAGCAGGCAGTCCAGCCTAGAAGATTAGGGAGAATCCCTCTGAAGTTTTTGTCTGTGGCTATTTGAGGAGTTTGTTACATTGGAAACTATGTCATGAGTGATTGAACTATGTCATGAGTGTATTAGACATGAGAAGTTATGCTTATGGTTAAATGTGGGTGTCAAGCCACATCCAGTTAGAAACTCTTGCTGCAATTCCTAGCAAGCACCTTGAGCTACCTTACTTATCACCCATTACCTCCTGGTCCTGTTAGAAACCACTGCATTTCTAACCCCTAAGGTCAGACGCTATAATCAACTTAGTCTTTTTTTTTTTTTCATCCAGGTTCTCTTCCTCCTCTAAGAGGTGTATTATTATTTTCTCACCTTTTAAATTCTACATCCTAGACCAGACCCCAGATTTATATTACTGTAATTCCCAGCTAGAAACACTCACTCTTTTTATAATACATTTTGGATTTTTAAATTATAGCTTTATTATGTGGTGATTCTAAGATTTTGGTGTTGAAAGTGTACAGATCTGCAGTTTTTTCTTTATTTGCAGAGCTGTGCCAGCACCAACACTGGCTAATTGAAGAATGTTTTCATCTCTGCCCAAGAAAGGGGGCCCGAGTAATCACCACCCTTGCCCTATGTCTCTCAGCCTCTGCCAACCACCAGTATACCTCTGTCACTACATAGATGCTTGTTCAGGACACTACATGCAAAAAGAAATCATAGAATGTGGCTGGCTTCTTCCACTGCATGTTTTTCAAGATTCATTCCTGTTGTAGCATGTGTTAGTACCTCATTCCTTTACATTGTAGAGTGATATTCAATTGCATAAAATCTTGACTAACCATATTAGATGTTAATGCTTTAACTTTAAAAGTCTCCTACCTCTGGCAAAGCTTTTCTGTTACTCCTTGAAGCTCACTGTAGAAAACAGAAACTCCCTTGATTGAAAGGTTTCCTCTCACGCCTTCCAGTATTATCTTTCTGTTCCTGCTAAAACAAGTTCCCCTTAGGCTGGACTTCTTTTCACATTCTCTATAAGTGGCATATACTTTCCCTTATTAGGTAATACAAATATGTTCTGCCCATCTAAAGCATCCATTTGTTGAGGTCAAGGTCAATTAACCTATAAAAACTAATATAAAAACCTATTTCTTCCTTCCTTAACTTTATATAACACTTATATAATCTCTGCTATACAAATTCAGATTTAATAATGTACTATTGGTCCCAGAGTGATAGCCTACTGGCTAAATCCTCACCTTGCAGGCACCAGGATCCAATAGGGGTGCCAATTTGTGGCCTGGCTGCTCCACTTTCCATTCAGCTCTCTGTTAGTGGCCTGGGAAAGTAATAGAGGATGGCCCAAAGCCTTGGGGCCCTGCACCATGTAGAAGACGCAGAAGGGGCTCCTGGCTCCTGGCTTCAGATTGGCTTGGCTGTAGCCATTATGGTTGCTTAGGGAGTAAACCTGCAGATGGAAGATCTTTCTCTTTTTCTCTCCTTCTCTCTGTAAATCTGCCTTTCCAATAAGAATAAACACATCTTGGGGGGGGGGAAAGAAGGGTAATATCTTTTGAAAAGAATAATAATATACTGTCCAATGATATTTCACTTTTTAAGCAAAATGTTGGAATTTAGTGTTAGATTTCAAGCTCCTAGAAGAAGAGTCTATTATTATCTTCCTAATGGTCTATGTCTGTTATAGAGTGTATAAAAGCTTGTCAGAAATTACTTGATTGGTTGTTAGGAAATCTGGCTAGAGAGAATTTCCTTCATCGAAAACATTTCTAGAATGTCTTCCTTGGAAGGGTTCTGAAAAAAAAAATATAACGCGTTCTCTGCCTTCAGTTTAGAGTTGATTCTTGTTGTAAGGTAAGGAAATTGGGGGTTGGGCCTCTTAATTGTTTTCTTTTTCTTTCCTGACATGTTATTTTGAAAAATTTCAAATATAGAGAATAAAAAAAAAAACTTCTACAGTGAATACCACATACCTACCAATAAGATGATCATATTTATTGTTCACATTTTGTTATATTTGCCTTATTATCTCTTTATCCATTTGTAGTCTTTCTTATTATTTTTTTTTATTTATTCATTTGAAAAAGAGACTGTTCCTATCCATTGGTTCATTTCCCAAGTGTTCCCAGGAGTGAGGCTTGCCAGGGGCCTGGCCAGTGGAAGCTGGGAATGAAGTCCAGGTCTCCCATGTGGGTAGCAGGAACCTGGCTACTTGAGCCAATCCCTGCTTCCTGCTAGGGTGTGCAGGCCTAAAATAAGGGACACAGGCATCCTAGGCAGCAGTTCAGAGTGCCTGGGGTCAAGTCTGGACTCCATTTCTGATTCCAGCTCCTGCTAATTGCACACCTTGGGAGACAGCAGACGATACCACAAGTACTTGAGCCATTGCCACTCTTATGGAAGACCTTGACTGAGTGCTGGGCTCCTGGCTTTGTCCTAGGTCAACCCTGGCTATTGCAAACATTGGGGAATGAACCCCTTTCAAATAAATACAAATAAAAGAGAAGTTATGGAATGGAGATATTGGAAAGTTGGTTTTTGTGGTGAGTTATAGAATGGATCAGAGACACACAAAGCAGATAAAATCTTACGCGATAGTCTATGATGCTATTCCATTTGCCTGCCTGATGTCCATATGCTCACTTATGCCTTTGCACCCCAGGGAAGATTTTCTTTATTCTATAGGCTTTCCGCACACTCTGGGTTGGCAGTCTTCATCATTAATTCTTTTTACTTTCCTTTCCCTTATTTTAGCTCTCTCCCTACACCACAGGTCTAATTTTAGAACAGTCATGGGTAATTTGTATCTTTTTGATATCCTCTATCCTTCTGTAGAAGTTTATGTCAACAGGAAGGAACAGGGGTCCTTTTCACCTTGGATTTTTTTCAGACTGGAAGACCAGGAGTGAAGCCAAGTCAACACGTCTTCATCGGGGCAGAGCTGAAACACCCCATAGCACAGATGGTCCCTCCACTGCCACCTTAGAAGTCACCTGTGATGTTAGTAGCCAGTTAGAAAGGCACCAGGAAAACTGGAAGAGACATCTGGGGCCGGAGGCAGCCAACCAAAAGAAAAGTTTTGAGCAAAATAAATTTACCGAAGATTCTAGGTTGAATTCAGACCTGCTTACACAACTGAACGTTCCTTCAAAAATACGACCTAGTGAATGTGAAACCTTTGGAAACAATTTGGGACACGGCTCAGACTTAGTTAATCAAAACGATGTCCTTGCAAAGAAAAAACCCTTTAAATGTGACAAATGTAGGAAAGCCTTTATTCATCGATCATCACTTACTAAACATGAAAAAACACACAAAGGAGAGGGTGCGTACCCCATTGGCACAGATCAGGGAGTTTATTCTGGGAAGAAACATCATGAGTGTACTGACTGTGGGAAGACCTTCCTCTGGAAAACACAGCTTACTGAGCATCAGAGAATTCACACTGGGGAGAAGCCCTTTGAATGCAACGTGTGTGGAAAAGCCTTCAGACACAGCTCTTCCCGGGCGCAGCATGAGAATGCTCACACTGGAGAGAAACACTATAAGTGCAGTCTCTGCGGGAAAGCCTTCCAGCGCAGTTCCTCCCTCGTTCAGCACCAGAGAATCCACACCAGAGAGAAGCCCTATCGATGTAATCTGTGTGGGAGGTCCTTCAGGCACGGCACTTCACTCACTCAACACGGGGTCACGCACAGTGGGGAGAGACCCTTCCAGTGCAAGGAATGCGGGAAAGCCTTCAGCCGGTTTTCTTCGCTCGTTCAACATGAGAGGACTCACACGGGAGAGAAGCCTTTTGAATGTAGCATATGTGGGAGGGCTTTTGGTCAGAGCCCATCCCTTTATAAACATATGAGGATCCATAGGAGAGGCAAGCCTTACCAAAGCAATAACTACAGCGTAGATTTCAAGCACAACTCAACTCTCACTCAGGATGAAAGTGCCCTGACTGAGGTGAAATCCTACCATTGCAGTGACTGTGGGGAAGACTTCAGTTACATCACAGATCTCGCTGACCATCAGCAGATCCATACCAGAGAGAGCCCCTATGACTGCGAGCAGGCCCTGAGCCAACAAACCGTTTCTCCTTCTGGAGAGAAGCCCTATCAGTGTAACGTGTGTGGGAAAGCTTTCAAACGGAGTACAAGTTTCATAGAGCATCACAGGATTCACACTGGAGAAAAACCATACGAATGTAATGAGTGTGGAGAAGCCTTCAGTCGACGCTCATCACTCACTCAGCACGAGAGAACCCATACCGGGGAGAAGCCCTATGAATGTATTGACTGTGGGAAGGCCTTCAGTCAGAATTCATCCCTGATTCAGCATGAGAAAACTCACACTGGAGAGAAACCCTATGAGTGCAATGAGTGTGGGCGTGCCTTCCGAAAGAAAACTAACCTGCGTGATCATCAGAGGATTCACACTGGAGAAAAACCCTATGCTTGTAAGGAATGCGGGAAAAACTTCAGTCGAAGCTCCGCTCTCACTAAACACCAGAGAATCCATGCTCGAAATAAACCCTAGGAACCCTGAAATTAAGGAATGTATAGAAAGCTTTAGTTAACATGCTGTTCTAATTCAGGACTGGAGCATTCTTACAGAGTTTGTGAATGAAATGACTTATATGTGTGTGTGTATGTGTGTTGTATGTGAGAAAACTGTGCCACTAGACAGAATGTCTCTAATAAAAGCTACATTCTCATATTTGATTACAGACATCTGTTTAAAAAAAAACAGTTGGAAGTGATATGCCCATAAACTGGATTTTATAAAGCTTTTGAATATATGTCTGGAGGAGATCACGAAATTTCAACCACTTGATGCGTAAACCCTTTGTTTACAGTCTTTAAAAATAAATAAAGCTCCTCTAGTAATGACCAAAAATCATTTTAAAAATTGTTTGACAACTGCAACTCTTAAAGTAAATTCACTGTGGAAGCCGATTCTGCCTATGGGAATTTGCCAAAGAGTTAGCTTAAATAATGTAATAGAGTAAAAACCAAAGATCTGAAGTGGTTTGCACAGTAGGCTACTGCCCATAACAGCAGGTCTCCTGAAAAGGTATTTTGAAATTTAGAGAACTTTAAATTTTGAAATGAGTCAGATACCCAAACATTTAATGAGCACCCCCCATGAGTTGGACACAGAAGAATTCCTAAAATCATAGAAACCGAAGTTATGTAAATTTGTCACCAGCTTATTTAAAGCAATTTGTTGGACATGTATAAACCAAAATGTCAACAGTAACTGTAGAGAATTGAACTTCTGGTGACTATTTTCCTTTTTCCCAGTTAGCAGTTTACTTGGAGCTAACGTGTCCATTTCATAAAACTATCAAGTCCTCTTGTACTTTTCTAGACACTCCATGAAAATGCACTGCCCCAACCTTTGTATATCAGATCGGTAAGTAAACAACACAAAACTAAGTGGAGAATTGTCCCCCAAATTAATTTTGTTACACAGAAGTAAAAACCCATTTACTCTTGCCATAGATTGTCTGACTCAGTTTAGAGAAACCACATTATTGATTCATTTTTGTGTGCAAATATTTTACCATAAAAACACCGGTTTCTTGGGCCCAGGGCTGTGGCACATTGGGTAAGCTGCCCATGTGGGCAAACATCCTATATGAATGTTGGTTCCAGTCCTAGCTATTCCATTTCCCTATAACAGTTCCCTGCTAATGTGCCTGGGAAAACAGTGGGGGATGGCTCAAGTGCTTGAACCTCTGTACCCACATGAAAGACCTGGTTGAATCTTTGGGCTCCTGGATTATCCTGACCCAATCCTGGCCATTGTTGCCATCTGGGGATTGAACCAGAGGATGGAAAACTGCCTCTTTCTCTGTTAATTTTGCCTTTCAAATAAATAAATAAATCTTTTTTAAAAAATAGCAGCTTGTTTGATTTCTTTGATGCTTTTCCACCAGGAAAACATAAAAATTATTTTAATTGGAAGTCAGAATTAGAGGTGGGGAGAGGTATCCATATTCTGGTTCACTCCCCAATGGCCACAACATCCAAAGCTGGGCCAAGATCAAGACAGGAGCCTAGAACTTTATCCAGTTTTCCTGTGAGGGGAACAGAATTCCAAACATTTAAGTCGTCTTTCATTGCTTTCCCAAGCACATTAGCAGGGAGCTGGATCAGAAGGAGAGCAGCAGAGACTTGAATGGGTGCCCATATGAGATGTGAATATTGCAGGCAGTAGTGGCTAAACTCATTATACCATAATGCCAGCCCACCAATATGGCTCTTAGTGTTTCTTGATGCTCTGATGTGCCAGCCTAAAGGAATTCCAGAACTTTTATTGAACCAGTGATGCAGGCAGGCTCAGGCCTAATGCTGACTTCCAGTGAAGAGTGATGGGGTTGTGTGGATAACCTTGCCTACTGGCTTTGCATGCCAGTTAGAAGAATCCATCACCCTTCTCTCACACTGGACAGCATGAAGTAGCTCCCAAGCATTTTCCATCATTCTTTGTAGAGAAGAATGTGTCTAGGAGCTGAAATAAACTGTACAACTCAATAATTCTGTCTCCTGTGAAGCAAGATGTCTTCCCAAGTTATCAACCATTTCCCCCAAATTGTTTCTGGTGCTTAATGCTTAGCACACACAATGCTAAGATCATGCCAACATTGGCTAATACACAGCCTGACAATGGGTGAGTCCATTCAGACCCTTCCCTACTGATTAACTAGGAAGCCTGTCAGGAATTTCTGTTGCTGCTGATTGGCAGGGGATCTCTAGAGTAGCCTACTTGCAGAGATGGTGAGAACTGTACGCAAATGGTGATCTTGTTATGGAAATTTATTTTTTCAAAAATCAGTTACAAAAGATTCAAAGAGTACCCCTGGTTCATGTGTGAAACCTGGCCTAAATCCAGCCACTACTGTGAATCTCACATCTTTATCGACAAGGAGAAACTCTATGTGATTAACTGAATGAGGGCTCTCCTAAGCCCACCACCTCACACCATGTGCTTACAAAGTCCTGGCCTTTCCCTGTATGGGAAGTGGAGCAGCTGGGATATGAACCAGCCCCATATGGGATCCTGGCGAATGCAAGGCTAGGACTTTAGCTGCTAGGCTACAGCGGCAAGCCCCTCATTGTCATTCTTATCCAACATCCATCCTTCCCCTGGTGGATTAGATCTCTTCCTTAAATGACATCCTACTATTGTCTTCTTTCTTGAATATTTCTCTTTTCCTCTGGCTCTTTTCCATCATCATTACAACATGTAATTTTTCTCATCTTAAACATATATATCCTATGTATCCACCTGCCACTTTTTTCCTGGTGAGTTTAACAAAGTGAAGTCCTTCAGTAGAGGTGTGGAAACCATGCCCATATGGGATCCCAGCACATACAAGGCTAGGATTTAACCACTGAGCCATTGTACCAGGCCCTCTCACTCCATTCTTATACTCAAGTTCATTTCTACTTGTCAAAGATCAGTGATAAACTCCATGCAGCTGAATCCAATGGCCCTTCTTAGCCCCTTATCCTGACTTGTTCAATATTGCTTAATACAATTGATCACTTCCTCACCTTTGACACTTTTTTCCCCACTTGGCATCCAAGCTGTAGTTACCTAGATTTCCTAACATTTTATTTATGTTTTAAATTCATTTAAAAGGCAAAGTTAGACACACACACACACTTACACACACACCCCTTCTGTCTACTGGTCAATTCCTGAATGGCCACATTAGTTGGGGCTAGGCCAGGCAGAAGACAGGAGCCTGGAACTCCACCTGGGCCACCCACATCAGTGACAGACACCCAAGTACTTGGGCTACCATCATCTCCCACCTTCTGAGGCATGTTAGTAAGGAGCTGGGTGGGAAGCTGAGTGGATGAATGTCCCTAAAAATCAGTGATTGAATTTCTCTCTCCCTCTTAATAGTCATTTTGTTTGGGTTCTCATCCTATCTCATGGTTCTATCTTTTTTTTAGATTTATTTATTTCTATTGGAAAGTCAGACATACAGAGAGAAGAGACAGAGAGGAAGATCTTCTGTCTGTTGATTCACTTTCCAAGTAGCCGCAACGGCCAGAACTGAGTCAATCTGAAGCCAAAAGCCAGGAGCTTCTTCCAGGTCTCCCATGAGGGTGCAGGGTTCCCAGGCTCTTTGCCGTCCTCAACTGCTTTCCCAGGCCACAAGCAGGGAGCTGGATGGGAAGCGGAGCTGCCGGGATTAGAACCGGTGCCCATATAGGATCCTAGCACATTCAAGGCTTAAGGAAGGATGTGATGGCATAGTGGGGAATGCCTAATGCCTGCTGATTTGGGATTAATAATAGGGCGATGTGGGTGCGCCCGCGAAGGGCGTGTCCGAAAGTCCATCTACAGCGCCGGACACTTCGGGAGCGCTGAGTCGAGAGTGTGTCTTGCTCATGCCTAAGCTGCACAGACAGCCGCCTCCAAGGGCGCCGGGACAGGCGGCGCGACTGGGGACTACACTCCCCGAAAGCCTTAGCGGCGGCGCTTCCGCTTCCGTATGTGACGTATCGGCCGTGCGTCCGGCGGGTCGCTAGTCAGACGTGTTTGTAGTGTGGCAGGTTTGCTGGGCACCGTGGTGTGACAGTAACCCTGCGGCGTGGGTGGAAGTCCCTGCCCCTGGAGCCGGGTCGCCCTCCGCCGGTGGCCACCACCAGCCCCTCAGGACACCCGCGCCGGCTCTCAGCCTTTTTTCCCGCGCTTTGCCCTTTGGCGGGATTCAGCTGTAAGCTATCAGGTGACCTCCGGACAAAAATGCGCTAAATTAAATGTGACATAGTCTGGGTAAGCAGAGAAACTTCTGGGCGCCACGCTTCCACTTTTGAAGACCCACCTCCCCTTTCTCCTTGGGACTGCCAGGGTTCTCTGTGGGTCGTCATGGGGGCAATAATCGCAGTCCGTATGGGGAACCGAATTTTTCCAGAAAATAACGCAGACTTAGGTGTTAAGAAAAAACATTCCTAAAGCCACTAAAGCACTAAGGAGAGCGCAGAGTTAGGGATCAGACTCTAAGAGAACAAGGGGCCGTGCCTCATCCCAGCACTGAGACCAGTCCTGGACCTGATAACTCCAAGGCGGAAATGAGCTCCTGGGTGAAGACACCCTCAAGGAAGACTGGAGCAAAACAGCCCCTGGCGCAGGCATGCCATCCACCCTGAGGTCGTGAAGGAGCCCTGTTAAATTGTTCCCAGTGGAGGTGGGCCCTCTGGCGCGGTGGGCGCAAATTAGGAAGAAATATTACTACACAGTATTATTATTATTATTTTGAGAAAACTTCCAGCAAGCACAGAAACATAGCCAGAAATGTAAGGAAACACATGATGTAGTAATACCAGGCAGCAAAATGGAGATGCACTTCAGATGGTGGCATTGTTAGAGAAGATACAAAATAGCAGTTTGTGCAATAATTTAAAAAGATGAAGGCAAGCAGTAAAAATATCTACATACACCAGAAAGCGTAGAAAAGAGATAGCGTATTTGACAAAACAGTCAAATAGGCTATTTTTAAGGTAGTCTTAAGTACCTCAACTAGGTTTAACAGCAAAACAAAGATGGAAGGTTAATGGATTAGAATATGAGTGAGAAAAGTATGTCCAGAAACTAGTGAGCAGAAACAGTAAAATGGAAAAATATGGGTGACAAAACACAATAATACCACTGAGTGAGAAGGCCCAACATAAATTTTTTAATTCCCAGAAGGAAGACTAAAAGCTGCATGGCTTTTGCAGGCCACAGAGGGAGCTGGAAGGGAAGTGGAACAGCCTGGACACAAACTGATGTCCATATGGGATTTGGTGCTTGGAGATGGAGGATTAGCTAGTTGAGCCATCGCCCCATCCCAAAAGCTATATGAAATTCTTAGAAAGTTATTGACTTGAAAGTTCCCCAGAATTGATGGGAGACATGCCAACATAGATCTAAGAAGTCAAATGGTTCTCTAAGTAAAATAAATCTACAACAAGATGTAATAGAACAGTAGAAACTCAAAGGCAGATAAAAGCAAAGTTATCCCAAACAGATGGCCAAAGAAAGTAGAAGATATGGATAAATCTGATTATAAAACAGCAATACTATTTATGTAGGTGTTGAGAAGTAGAGTCAGGTATCTGTGGTGAAAATGGCTTACCTCTCCTGGGACGCCCACCCCCTTAAGTACCTGACTGGAGTTTTGGTTCTCCTGTTTCCTATCCACTTTTCCGCTGCTGTCCACCTAGGGCAGCAGCATG